AAGTCTGTAAAAAAGATGTTTTTGAGGAAGAAGAAGAAGTAGTATGTTTTTGTTTTTTTGTTTTTTAGACTTTAGAAACTCAGAAGCTGATCAAATATCGGGTTAAATATCGGTGGGGCGGCCGATGTACGATATTCAGGTTTAAGGCCGATACCGATAGGGGGCCGATTATATCGTGCATCCCTATCTTTAACTCAAACCTTTACAATGAGAGAATAAAGCTCATTGAGTAGAATAAAGGCAACTCACTTATTTCAATATTCATAGAAAACAAAAAACAAGCTTACTTTGGAGATTAGGGGCATAATACACACCCTAATGATTTAAAAGTACTGAATTTTACATACTTCCTGCACAGCTGATGTAATTTAGTGTGGACAAAAACTGAATGCAGATTTTGCACAAAACTGGATAAAAAGACACAGAAATAAACTGCGAGGAAGAGTAAGGAGAACATGAATTTGAGAGGCGGAACAACTCAGCTTTAAAAATCTCACCTCTAAATCAGCTTTTTGCTCATTAAATCTGTGAAAAGATGATTTATGCCACCTACATGTCCCGGGTGTTTATTTTGACAGTTTACTGCATAGTTGCATAATCTTTCATAATCTTGATTTAGTGTCAAAAGCACCTGTTTGGTGGTCAACCACTCCTCAGGGTGAAAAAGTTAATAATGTCTGATTTTGTCACTTGGCCTCAGAAAAATGTGACCTCATCACTTCTACTACTGTGCATACAGTGATACAAGCAAACAATTAATCATGGAACACAAACTAAATGAGTATGTTATATTGGAAAATGAAAATCAAGCATGATTTTCTCCATTATAAAGTCGATTATAGAGTAGAATGTGTATTAAAATCTTATAAAAACAACCCTCTTTCATCTATCCAGTCTAATATAACAATTTGACATTACTTTTTCTGTCACATGACCTAAAAGATACTGGGGAAAATAAATTTGGAAAAAAAAATCATTTATTTTGAAGAGGAAAAAAATGTTAAAAAGGAGAAAAGAATCGAGCTTGAGCATTTTTTTAAGTCTACATTCAAAATACGTGTCGTGACAAACGCCTTTAACGTTCATAATTTCCATCGTTAAACGTTGTGATGGCAGCGTCATGCTGTGGGGATGCTTTTATTCCAGCAGGGACTGGGGGCGCCAGTCAGAGCTGATTGGAAGATGCATTGAGCTAAACAACAGTTAGGCTTGAGTAGTTTTGCAAAGTTATGTGATCATTTTCATTAAAGTTTGCTGCTTTTAAAAAAAAAAAACATTTGCAAATAACTACCCGTATTCTGTGAACTATTAGCCGCTAAGTTTTTCCCACGCTTTGAACTAGCGCTGCAGAAAAACGACTGTTTTGCAAATCGATCAATCTGTCGATAATTTTTTTTAAATTAATTAATAATCAGAAAGCCAAAGGGTAATTAAATTGGGTAAGACTAAAAAAGAAAAACTATTTTTATTTTAAATGAAAAATGTTTACATATTCTTTTTTTTTATTTTGGTATATTTGTGGCTCAAAGTGGGTTTCTCTGTCAGCTAAAGGCTCGTTATAGTCTCTATGCTCCTGTTAACAATTAATCAATTACTAAATCAGTTGATGATTATTTCAACACTCAGTTAATCATTATTAATCGGATTAATTGTTTCAGCCCTACTTTGAACCATGCGGTCATGAAGGTTCTGCTTTTCTGTGGGTTTCTCCTAACCACCAGCGGGCGGAAGTCAAAGTTGGGACTCAAAGAAGGAGCTAATTTCAGTCACAGCAGAGAAAACATGTCCTGAATTCCCACATTTTGTCATTTATTTGCCGCATTAAAGCTCTGGAACCAATGAAGACTCTGTGCATAACTCCTGCAGAGCTTAAATAAAGAGCTAAGCCTCATCTTTACAAGCCACCTTCTACTGTATGGAATCAATACTTACTGCAAACTGCTTACGCTTCCTTCCAGGTTTTCCAACTTTAAATGAAGCACTACTAAAATCTGACATCTCCTCCTCCATTAGGTCCATAGCTAGCATTTTGCTATCAGCCTGTAAAGAGAAAAGGACACAGTAAGATCGGGTGGTAAAGGCACATATTCTTAAAGCTAACAGCTCAATAATCGTTGTCCTTAAACACTGAAACAGTTAAACACTGAATTTACGGCAAGAATTGGAGCAAAAGTTGGAATTGTTCTTCAGAAATGTGAAAAAAAAAATTTAAAGGGCAACCAAATGCTTGAAAATTGGAGAAAAGTGCAGCAGGCTCACTCACCGGTGTGTTTAGCTGAGACAGATAGAAACAAAATGACATGCTCTTTTGAACTAGGCTGCAGTGAAAGCTCAGTGAATGCACCTCTGACCTTCAAGACAATTGCTTCTTGACACCATTACAAACCGCCGACCCGCCCCCACGTTCCCCTGCTGCAATTTTCCTTTGATTAATACAAACTGTCAACCAGCATGAACAATGCTCCATGTCTGCCACCACCCAGCAGCCCCCAGAGTTGATGAGAGAAAGGATGACCGTAATGTAGATGCTTAGACTTCAGTATTGACTGAGTAGGAATGCAAGCGCCGGGTCCGAATGCAAATAGGACTGACTGCAAGGCCATTTCTGGCAGCAGGGTGGGGGTTGGAGAGTTGGACTGGGCAGCTAAGGAGGGAGAAGCTATCGACGGGACAACTATTAGTCATGCAGTTTAGAAATCTGGACTTTAAGCACATAACAAAGTGGCAAGAAGACATTCCTTTTCTAAAGAAATCCTGTTAATCCATATAGGGGAACATTTAGCACAAGGTGCTCTGGTCAGATGAGATTAAATAGAATGAATTTTTGACCTAAATATAAAACCAATGTTGGAAAACTTAAATTGCACATCACCCTGAATGTCTCCACAGTTTGGGGAGGCTTTTGTTAAAGGAATAGTACACCCAAAACATGATTAGCCTTCATTTTCTACTCACCCCCATGCTGAACA